CTGGCACGCCTGTATGAGGCCAGTGGGCGGAACCGAGATGCGCTAAAGTGCTACATCAAGCTCCACGATGCCGACTCAGCATTTCGGCTTATTCGCGAGGGCCACCTTGCTGAGGCAGTCGCCGATGACATACCAAGCTTTATTGGCCTGAGGGTGTCGCCAGATCGGGTGGACCACATGTCTCAGCAAGAGCTTGTGGACGCGACTTCAGAGGCGATTACCTTGCTCGTCGATGAGGCCCAGCATGGACTTGTGCGTCCAGAGGTGGTGGTGGAACAGTTGCAAGCCAAACAGCTGAATCTGTACCTGTACTTCTACCTGAAGTCACTGTGGCGGGGTGAGGGCATCAAGGAACACGGCGGCGAGAATATGGATCGGCTGGTCATGGACAGTCAGTCCTTGGTCGACGACTTTGCCGATTTGGCGGTGCATCTCTTTGCCACGTACGAGCGGCCATTGCTAATGGGCTTTTTGAAGACGTCGACTTCGTACACCTTTGAGAAGGTTAGGCCCGCCACCCTACGACATCGCTTACTACAGATGTATGCTAACACGTGCCAGGCCGTACAAGAGTGCGAGGCGTTTGAGTACTACGACGAACTGGTCTACCTGTATTCCAAGACAGGCCAGATGAAGCGAGCCTTGTTCCTCATCATTGATCGCCTCAACAATGTCCAGAAAGCGATCGAATTCGCCAAGGAACAAGACGACCCTGACCTGTGGGAGGACCTGCTCAAGTATAGCATGGACAAGCCGAGCTTCATCCGCGCTCTACTGGAACAAGTCGGGACGGCAATCAATCCCATCACGTTGGTTCGGCGCATACCGGAGGGACTTGAGATCCAAGGTCTCAGGGAGGGTCTCACACATATGATGAAGGAGCACGAGCTTCAGCACAGCATTAGCTCCGGTGCAGCTCGCATACTGAGGAGTGAGCTTGCTTCTGCCCAGAACGATCTCCGTGCCGGGCAGCGAAGGGGCATCAAGTTTGAAGTCGTGTTGGCCGATGTCGAGCAAATAAATGGCAGCAACACCGCAGCTGTCGCTGACGAACGGCAACACACCGAGGCCAAAACCGAGCTTGATACGACACCACAACCGGGGCGTTGTGCAAGCTGCCACGAGGCTTTCACAGAGTATGAGATGGAAACCCTGCTGGGATTTGCTTGCGGACATGGTTTCCACGTGAGCCATCTGTTGGAGATGCTCCACAAGGGAAAGAGGAAGCCAGACATAGACCTCTTAACTGAAGAGGGAGAAAGGAGCAGGTATGCGGTTGGCATGAAGGTCATGAGGGCTCGACTGCTGAAGGACAAGGTCCAAGGCGGCTGTCCCATCTGCCACGAGAAGGCGGCATAGTTGTCGCCGAGTACATACATAGCATGGCGGCGAGGGCGTTGGGCGGTGGAGGTTGCTTACTTTACTTTTCGTCAAGCTCTGCATGGGATGCAAATTTAGATACCACGATACATTGACCGAGGGTGGGCCAGCAATCCGCATTTTGAATCATTACCAGCCGTTTATTGTGTGTCGAAGGCACACACCTAGCTACAAAGGGTATTATTACGACGCCAATGATCTGGCGTTCTCATGCAATGCCGCAACGCAAATCATGTACGGGTGATCCTCCCATGTCCCCGATCCGATCCCATGCCTTGACAGAAAGAAAAAGAACCCAGCCGTTCCGTCGTTACGCAAGCCCGCCAACGTGCCGCAGGACGTGGAAGGTGCAGCTTAGACCAGGAAGGCCATAGCCATGGCCGCAGCGCCAAAGGCCACGCTCTTGACGACGCTGACGGCGTTGTTCGCGCCGCCGGTTGGAGTCGCGACGCCGGAGCCGGAGGGCGTGCCGGACGCAGAGCCAGGGGACGACTGCGTGGCCTGGGCACCGGTCGACTCGGGACCAGACTCGGAGGCATCAGAATCGGAGCGGGTGCGACTGCCAGCGAGGGCAGAGGACTCGGCGCCGGGGGTCTGGGTGACGACGACGGCGCTGCCGCCCGCGTTGGTGGTGGTGATGACGGTGGGCGCGGCCTTGGCCGTGTCGCCGCCGGTGGGATAGGCGCCTTGGGCACCGCTGCTGCCAGAGCCGGGGGCCGGCGCGGCGGCGGAGGACTTGGCCTCTGGGGCGGCACCGCCGGTCGACATGGAGACTTGGCAGTTGGTGGAGTGGACGATGGTGCACATGTTGAGGGAGTAAACCAGAGATCCTGGCGAATGGTCAGGGTCTGAACGGGAAGTGTTTGGCTGGGGGGTTGGGACGGAGAGAAGAGTCACCAGGGACTTACCAGCTGAGGTGATGGATCCGAGCTCCTGAGGAGCAGCGGTCTCGGTGGCCTGGCCATTCGCTGTGGACAGTCCTGTTAGACTCTGTGATTGAAATACGTCCCTTCAACAGGAGAAATTCTTGGGGACTCACAGTAAGGAGCGTTGGCGGCGCCAACGACACCGACGGCGAGCATGGCGACGAGCACCATGATGCCGTTGAAGATGGCCATCTTAGCCGCGAACATGTTGTCAAATGTTCCTTTCACAAGTCGTTTCGGAGGGAGATTCTCAACGACAGCCGCGAATTATCGATGCGGCGCTCAGGAAAGGGGGATAGTGGCAAACGAATGTTGACCTGCAACACGGTTTGTCTCGTTAGAATCGAATCGAAGAGGCACAGACGACGGAAAAGGGTGTGGGCAAGAAGGGGCATGCGATGCAAAACAGCAATCCTTTTTCGGGATCGAATACAATCGAGACTTTCCAAAAAAAAAAAAGTGAGGTTCCAGGCTGTTGGTTAAGAACCCGAGTCAAAAAGGGAGCGGGCGTTCGGCAACAGGGAAGGGAGGATAGAGTTTGGGGGCGGCGGTGGAGATGCGCGAGGGAGGGCATTCAGGAACGCGATACCGCAGAATCTGCGATACTCCGTTCCAGGAAATGGCAGCGCAGAACAAGAAGAAAAAAGAAAAAAGAGTAACGCTGCTGACTGAACATGACGAAAGAAAAGAATACATACCGTTGCGGCGGATCTTGCACGCGGGCGTGGTTGTGGAGAAGTTGATGGTGGTTGGTGATGGTTTCGGTGGTGGGTGAAGGGAGAGAGAAGAGAGGGTTTGGCAGCCGGCGCGCGATGGCAGAAACTAAATACGTGGGCGACACAGCGTGAGTCAGTGAACAAGAGAGAGAGAGAGGGAGAGAGCAAGGCAGACGAGGCGGGACCTCCGTTTCCTTATGGCCTGAGGGGGAGATGGGGTTGCGCGGCCAAGAGAACGGACGAAGCGTTGCCGGGGAGGCGGGCCATGAGTGCGCTGTGAATCACTGCCCGGTTGCCCCAGGTGGGCAGGCCAATGGTGCAACCGTGCAGCAGCCGGCATTGGACATGGGCAATATCGCCTTCTGCGGCGCGGTAGATGGGACGAAGGACGCGACGAGTGCCGCACAGGTGCGCGCGGGGCGAAGCGGTGTGCCCGCCAGCCGTGCGACGAAAAAAAGGGGGGGGGTGAGGCGAGGTGAGGCGAGGTGAAGAGAGGCGGCCGGTGGTGGCCCTCCCTTGGAGCGAGAGGGAGGACTCAGGAGGAGGGAGGAGGGAGCCCCAGTCAGCCCGCACAGGATGAGAATTCCACGGGAGCAATAAGGTTTGCGAGATGGTCTACGGACTCGGATCCAGGGACCACTCTTGCATGCCACGGCGGCTCTAATATAGGCCTCGAGATCCGCCCGTTGATGTGGCAGCGGACGCTAGTTCTCCGGCTTGACATCCTTGGCCAGCTGAAGCCTGCCTGCTCGCCCACCGAGTGCGTGTTTGACAGGTTGCGGAGACGTACGAGGCAGTGGCGGGTGTGAATGTGCTGCTCAGGAGAGGATGCGTCGTCCATACGAGTAAATGTCTTCAATGTCAGGTGGACTAGACGCGCGACGTCTAACATCCCAGCTTACTTGGCCTCGACAGAGGATTGCAAGGACTGACTACGTGTAGACGCCGAGAGCTATCGTCTCCTACCACATCTCCGAGGCGAGAGACAAGAGCACGACTGAATGGCAACTCTGCCCCCGCTTCGAGACATGGACACATCGCACATCGATCGCACGCCCGTCGTCGTCATCCAGGTGTCAGGCATGGTCCCAACGCGCACAAGACAGACAGACACACAGACAGACAGACAGACAGACAGACAGACAGCAGCCGAACGGCCACCGAGCAGAGGCATCTCACAGCCCGCCCTCCTCTGCACGACGATGCCCACTCGGTACCGTACCGTACGCCGTCGCGGACCTTGCCTCTTTGCGTGACGTCGCGGCTTGACTTGACCCGGGCGGCTTCAAGTTTTCGCGACGGACGAGACGGAGCAGACAGCCAGCACGGAAGCAATGCCGCGGTGGGACGGGAGGGTGGATGGCAGGCTGACTGAGCTTGTGCGACCTCCCCCGTCCGACAAGGTTGCGCCGCGTGGACGTGGGACATGCGCGCGCGCCACCGGGGTACGTGAGTGTGCTTGCTTCATCAAAGACGTCTGGTCGCACACGCGCTGGCGGGAGGACAAGGTCCGCGTGTGAGTGCCGGCCAGGGGGAAGGGGGGGCGGTCCTGTCTTGACGTGGGATCGGCTCCTGAATCCTGATGCTTTGATCAGTCACTGCCGCGTTTGACTTTCACAACTGAGAGTGATGGGATCTGTCTCGTCTGCGATATGCTTATCCCGGGGTGCGCGTCTGAGTGCCGCCCCCCAGACGCCCTTGAAGTTTACGTCGCGACGCCCCTCGAGATGGTGTCGCTTCATGGGCGCCCGACCGTTCGGCATGGAGGTCATGAACCGACCAAAGGTGAGAAAATTGGGTGATGGATAGATGAGTAAACACCTGTGTAGGAAAAATAAAGAAAAAAAAAAAAAAAAAGCCAGATACAGACAGTAAGAAACGGATAACGAGAAGAGAACAACAGCGCCAAGAAGTGAAAAAAAAAAAGGAAGTCGAGTTGACTGGCAAAAATGTTGTCCCAATGCTGGGGACGGGTTGTTGGACGAACGGGGAATCGAACCCCGGACCTCTCCCAATCGTTGCCGTCAGTCGGACTGATCATGCTAAGGGAGAATTATACCACTAAACCATCCGCCCTACACCTGTATGAAAGGGAGTGCGCTATTTGTATACATAAGACTCAATCCCCGCTCACCAAGCCCCACCTCCCGCAAGTCCAGCCGAGCCAAAAACGGCAACCACCTTTTCACACACAGGTCGGGTGCTTGAGGAAGACGAAGTACATGTGGGGAGAGCAGAGCCAGTCGGGTTGTCAGGAGAACAGGACCTCTTCCTCTCTATGAGATGGACTGCTCTGCGCCCACCAGCACATTGCTCGACGAGGCGTTCGTTAGTTTGCGACACCCTCAATGCATGGGCACAGCTAGCCGTGGCGGCACGATCTCTGCGGCTAAATTGAATGCGAGGCAACGGTGCCCCCTCTTCCCTCAACGTGTGAACTTGACAGGCCTGCCAAGTGCCGGCGGGAATAAAATCCAACGAGCCGGCAGGTGTTTCCGGAACAATAAGCGTCGGGCTTGCTTATTGGAGGTAATTTATAATCTTCAGCTCGAAGCATATTATTAATATCCAAGGTGCTCGACGAGGGCCGTCGTGATGGCACGTAACTTTAATAAAAGGCTGGCCATGTTCAGGTTTTTCGTCAAACGGTCCCCGTCACTGCCGTGGCTCTCAACTGAAACAGTCTCATCATATTGTACCAGGTCTCAACCAGAACAATGGGCTCGACGAAGCTTCTCATCACAGGCGCCACGGGCTACATGTATGTGGTGTGAGAATTGGCACCAGAGCTCAGCACTGACATGGCGCAGCGGCGGATCCGTCCTTTCCACTCTGCTGGCGTCCTCAAACCCGCAGATCAAGGATCTGACTATCACTGCGCTGGTTCGCAAGCCAGAACACGTCGAGCTGCTCAAGAAAAAGGGCGTCAATGGCGTCATATTCACGGGCCTGGACGACATTGAGGCGGTGAGGAAAGCGGCCAGCCAGAACGACATTGTGGTCAACACCGCCATTGCCTATCACGCCAAAGCTGCCGAGGCCATCATTGACGGCCTGGCCGATCGCCAACGAGAGACGGGGAAACCCGCGCATCTCATTCACGTATGTAATCTGCACGTAATGGCCATGTGGCTGCATACTGATTTTGACTGTAGACGTCTGGCACGTCCAGCCTAGGCGATCGCCCCATCACAGGCACTTACACGGAGACGCGGGTCTTTTCCGACCTCAAGGATGACATCTACGCGTACGAGCGCCAGCGCGAGGACCTCGAACAGTACCCGCAGCGCACCACGGACCTGGTCGTGTTCGAAAAGGGCGAGGCCGCCGGCGTCAAGACCTACATCCTCATGTCGCCGACCATCTACGGCATCGGCAGCGGCTTCTTCAACCGCACGTCGATCCAGATCGACGCCATCATGCGCGCGGCCAAGAAGCAGGGCCACACGTCCGTCATGGGCCCCGGGGCTGCGCAGTGGGACCACGTGCACATAGACGACCTCGTGCAGCTGTACGAGCTGGTCGTGGCGAAGCTGCTGCGCGGCGACGCGCTGCCCGCCAACAAGAAGGGCCTGTACTTCAACGAGACGGGCCACCACACGTGGCGCGAGGTGTCGGAGCAGGTCGCCAGGACGGGCCGCGCGGCCGGCTTCCTGCCGACCGACGAGGTGAGGGAGCTGCCGCTGGCGGCCGCGGCCGACGCGTTTGGCGGCAAGACGCTGCCGCCTGAGTTTGCGGAGCTCGGGTTCGCGTCGCGCGCGCGGACGACGGCCGACCTGGCGCGCGAGATTGGGTGGTCGCCCAAGAAGACGCGCAAGGACTTTGAGGACAGCTTCGCCGAGGAGTGGAAGGTGATTGGCAACGAGTTGTAGCGTATGGGATCGCGGCTTGTACATGCAGCATAGGGACCGCAGTGAGAAAAGTCGGGGAGCGCCTGCTGGTGCCTTGTAAGAAAAGCAACTGCAGGAATGTCACGTTTTGCACGGGAAAGAGTCCGGGGAACAAGAATTCTTGAAAGATGCTGCGGTCGGTTCTGCCAAGTCCAGTGGGTAGTTTCATGTTTGCAATTTTGCACCCAGGTGCCACCAGCTCTACATGTAGCAGACAGGCATATACCGTTCTAGCCGGGATGCATAGCTACCGTCCATCAAGTGTTTCCCTCAGATGCCAAGTCTCAGAAGACATGAATTTACGTCTAAATGGAATCGGTAATGGTCAATGAGCTTCCAGTGGGCAAGACATTTGAGGAGGGTAGGTCAAGTATTCCTCTGAAACTGCCTGCTAGGTTCGTTAAAATAGTGAACGTGATACCGACTATACTCCTCCGACTCATCCTCAGAGCCACTCTTCTCCGACCTATCCCCCACCGAACCATCCTTCTCAGACTCTTCCTCCTCCGACATGCCCCCCTCCGACCCGTCCTCTTCCGACCCTTCTGTGAGGCTCTCATCAAGTTCAAGAATGATCTCCTTGACCCCATCGTCCCAATCGGAGTAGCGGCTGAGATACCCACTCAGGCGCATGCGCACAGAGGAAGTAACCCCCGCCGCTTCGCTCATCGTCCTCAGCTGCTCCAGATACTCGTCTGGCCATACTCGATCCCGGTGAGCTTTCAGGACGAGTCTTTGCAGCCCAAACTTGTGTGAAGCGTAAAAATCTCGCTCGCTCCCGACAGTCTCCATGTATTGCCGCAGTCGATCGAGTAGTTTTGTCGGGTCGCAGGTATTGCGGAATGACCGTCTCAAGTTGCGGCCAATCACGAGGCTATTCCACGGCGTCCAGCGATAATCGCCAAAGTCTATGAGATCATCCCTTAGGCAGAGCTCGTGCAGACCAGATGGTAGGATCTTGTGTAGCGACTGAATGGCCTTGGTCGGATCACAGCCCAAGAGAACGACTGTGGGCACCTCCAGTCGTTCAAGAGAGGAAAGTTCTTTTAGCGAACCTAGCCGACCACGTCGCTTCCATATATCATTGACCCAGTCGTCGTCCATGTCCTCGGGCGGGTAATCATCAACATGGGACCAGTCAACCGAGATGACGAGGTTTTTCAACGTCGTGGATACGTTGCTTACGGCCGCAGTAAATTCCTCCCACTCGTTCAGATGCTCGTGCCAATACCCAGAGTCCCTCTTGAGCTCCTCGAGGTCCTGTGCGAAAAAGTATTCTAGCGTCACGAGGTTCGAGGTGTGTTGAAGCATATCCGACAGCGTGGCTGGGCTCGCACCAACGTTGAGGATGCTGAGTCTTGCGAGATTGGCGAGGCACGTGATGTTCTGAGGCGATGCAACAATGGGTGCGTCTTGTAGAACTATATCTGCCTCTATTAACGAGGGCGCATCGAGGAGTGCGGTGCCTGGCAGTCTTTTGTCGTTGAAATCGCGCAGGATCCTACCGTCGAGGTTATTGAACACTTTTAGCGCTGTCAGATGCTGCAAGTGAGGCCCGATACGCAGCGCCTTGGGCAACGCCTCTGAGCTCCAGATCAAACTGAAGTCTATCTCCAAGACCTCCAGGTTATGGAATAGTGAGAGCAATACTGCCGTCAAGGCGCCGACGTTACCGTCCGAGAGTTCATTCTCAAGGGCCTCATCCCACCCTTGGAAAACTTCGTCTTCGGAAGTGTCGCCGTCTTCGGACGCCTCACTTTCTTCCGAAGTTGTGTCTACCGTACAGGTCTCGTTCGTTTCGAGGGCATCGCTCTCCCTCAGGGCCCCATCCTTCTCAAGAAATTTGTGAGACGCCTTCATGAAGTCCCATCCCGCTTCCAACCATGTGTCCTCATACCTCATAGGAGGGGGAAGGTCGCGCAACTTGGTACCCCAGTCAAGCCACCCATTCACACAGAAGTCCGCGCGCTTAACATGGGCTGCAAGCTCGGGGCGCCGCCAGACCGCAGCGAAGAAGGGATGAATCAATGGGTCATAGTGGGGAGGCTCGCGATCCTCGGATCGGAAAAAGTAGAGGAAGGATTGATATAAGAACGGCTCAGCGTACTCGCGACAAGCCTTGCATGTTCGACATAGCGCAGCTAAGGAGTCTCGTTGCAGCAAAGAGAGCACCTCGCGATGTAACTCTGTGGGGAGGGAAACAAAACTAGACATCGCCAGGGGAGATTCGCGGCGACAATAGTCTCTGTGGACAATATGACATGTGAACTGGGGCCGTGATAAAAGCGTGTGGAAGTTTTTCACAAGGAGTTGCAGGCGCTCGCTCACAAAAGAACAGGGCGCTGCCTTTGCGCTTCTTATTCACTATATGACAGCTAACGAAGGCTATGGACCGATTGGCTCAACCCCGCACCACTTTTACAAAAATAAACCTGCACAACCCTGCATTGCGGGCTTTAAACAGGCCGCTTACAAGGGGCACGGCACAAGCAGGTTTGGTCACTTGGCCATGTCTTTGCCAGTACAATGTCCTAAGACGAGCGCTACATGATGTCAAATATCGAACTGGTTCGCGCTTGAGCCCCAAGCGATCCGGAATAGGCACACGATGGCATCTCCCCCTGAAGCAAAAGCATGAAGAATCACTCGTGGCCGCTCGCAATACTTTTGGCTTGCATACTGCGCCCAAACCCGGCCAGCGCGCAGCCACGGAAATGGCTCAGGAATCAGGACTGGTGGGTGACTCCTGAGCCACAAGTGTATCATGCCTGTTCATGCCTGTTCATGCCGGCCTTTTCAGAGCACACCCCAGGCGCGATCTCTTTGTCCAACGATAGACGGCGTTGAGCGAAGCCGGCTTGTCAGAGGCCTGACGCTCGGCAGTCCGCATTTCATGCTGACCCTCCAGTACCAGTGAGCCGCCACCCTGACCCTCATGGTGTGCCTCGCCGCGGCTCGTTTGTCCAACGGCCTTGAATTAAAGGGATTACATCTATGAAGCTGTTCCAGTCATTGCGAGCTCCGTTGATTCAATCTGTGACCATTCCTGTAAGAAGGATGTCTGGTGCAATCACAGTTTGCGCGGCAAGGGACAATTCGGCGAGGCCGTTGTCGAGACTCTAGTTCAAATCTTGAAGCCAAAGCTCACGTCCACCTCGCAGCGACGGACTCAGGAACGGTGAGGGG